CGGGCAGACTTGGGGGGACTGATCTGTGGCAAGTGGGCAGGTGCACGGAAGACGTCTCCAATAGTCGCAACCTTCTTTTTGCTATCTGATTCTGGGATGGGGTAAACCTCTGTCGTCGAGATGAGGTTGGGGAGGTTCGTCTCGCGCAAGGGTAGAGTCACCTTGACGGCGGTGTCGAGCGTGGATATTCCATGGGCGGGGGGAATTTTCTGGGGTTGCTGCAGACTGGAGAATAGCTGTTTCGGCGGCGCGCTCCCGTACAGCGTGAGAACAGTCCGGCTCTGGGGTATCTCTGCGTCTTGATCTTCCTCCTTGATCGGCACCGGAGTGCCCTCCTCTCCTGAGGCTGGAGCGTCGGCATCGCCGTTGACTTGCTTTGCTGAACCAGGCGCTTTGCGCGCCCCTTCTCTGGCCACAAGGTTTTTCAGGACGGTCTGGAAGGCGAGCACTTTGCCCTGCAGCGCTGTGTCTTGGGGCGACGCCTGGGCTGCCGAGGAATCACTTGGGCCGCTGGACGCCAGAATCTCAGTGGTAGCGCTCTCGACATCCTTCTCTAGTGCGTGCAGAGAGTCGTACGAGCCGTCTTGTATCAGGTTGCTGATGGTCGCAGGGCCGTCGGGTGGGGTCAGCTTGGTGCGTTTCGAGTCGGCTTCTCCAGAGGCGGATCGCGTTATCGACGAGGTGATGGGATGCGACAAGATGGAGGGTTTGGTGTCGTAGCTATTCAGTGTCAACATGCGACTCAGAGGTGCGGACGAGCCCAGCCAGCGCACTCCGTGCATGGGCTGCTGGCATTACGGCGATAACGCGCGGGGCGGGGAATTCTTCGCAGGCGGCATACCTCTTGAGAACTGCCAGTATGTCTCCCAATACTGCCTGCAGAGAGCGCGCGCTGGCACTGGCGCTCTCTCCCGGTGCAGGCGTGGATGCGCCATTGACGGCAATGGCAGGACGCTCGGCGAGTTTCCGTTTGGCGGCAGCGGGCGAGTTGGGCGCCTGGGGGAGCGACGGCGGGGAGAGGGTGCCGTTGGCGGCGGCCATGGTGACTTTGGGGTGCTGTTGGCGATGCGCGAGTGATGGCGTGGGATGGAACGCGCTCAGGGCGGCCGGAGTCGTGCTTCGGCGGCTTCCTTCACAGCATGCCCTGTCCGCGATACCGGCAGGCGCGATGCTGAAATTTGGAGAGGCGCGTGACGGGGTCCAAGACGGCTTGCGGTGACGCGCAAATGGTGCCTAGGGGTTGGGCGTGCTGTTGGCGGCTGTCCAAAGTTGACTTGGCTTGGTGGAAGTAAGTGCAGCGATGAATGGAACGCGCAAAGGGCAGCGCCAAGACCACGCCGCAGAGTGCCGCAGCAATTACTGCCTGGCAACTGCTGGCGACGAGGGTGATTCTTTTCCTTTTGAATGACCCCTGAGTTTCTGTTTGCCAATTCAAGCGTGTTCGCTCTCCACACGCCTATCGCTCCTTTGGGTGACGATGTCCAAGTCGTCCACGGGTGGTTTGCGACTGTAGCATGCTGCGCTAGCGACGATGGGGCATGAGCTACCCACGATTTTCTCACTGCACTCGACAACTCTCCGCAATTGGTTTTCGCACGCGTCGCTCCACGTCTATTGCGTCTGATGAATGCCCTTAGTACTCTCCCTGGTAGCTCCAGGTAGTCCGTACCGCTTCGGCCGTCGTGTGACGCGCCTCCTACCGCACTGGGTAGGCCCGCACGCCATGTTCAAGGCTTACTATGTACTGACCTGGTTTGCAAGTATCTTTGTAATCCCATAACCCATCTTCCATGGCGGGACACACCACTCCTTTCGACATGTCATCTCGAGCTTCCTTCAGCGTCCCTGCTCTCCCATCGCCCCGCGACGCGCAAACCCCGCCCCGGTATAGCCTCTCCTCACCATGAGGTGCCTCATCGACTTTCGAGGCACTACTCCGCACCAGCCCCTGATAACACAACCCTCTCTGAGAGTCCCATAGATGCCTTTTCAAGCAATCTAGGTACAGATGCTCCATCGGACGCCTCTTCGCCGTTCCCAGACGTGCTCGAGGATGCAGAAGAGGATGGTAGATTTCGACCGCAATTGTCCCGCCGCACGAGAAAGGCGAAGCGTCCCAGCAGACCTGCGACAGTCCTGGAATCAATGGATCACTCAGCCAGAAACCTCTACTTCGTTTCGCCGCCGTCTGCGACTGATTTATCCTACACTGCGCCCCGCTCTGCGTTGCGAGGACGCAAGCCGAAGCCTGTACCCTCCGTCAGCACCGAGCTGCTTCCTGAACCTGCTTCTATTTACTCGATTCTTGCCCGATATCTTCAACATCATACGGAAACGGCAATGGTTGAGTCGACGTTCCAATATACACCGCGGGAGCTGGAGATACTACAAAATCAAGGCTATACCGTTGGAAGTGTACAACGATGGGCGTCTTGTCTCACAGAACCGCGATCGACTGCGGCAGTCAAATGCTTCCAACAAGGGGTCGAGATGGCACCTCTTTTCCTGCTTCTACTGTTCCTACGTCGCAAGCACATCAGAGTATCTGCTCTTGGTATCGTCATGAGGCACGTTGATCGTATTGCGCAGTCGGAATCGATAAGTTGGTCGGAGCTCAAGATCATCACGACCCGTTTACTTCGCCATGGACGCGAGCTCTGGCCCGAGTCAATGCCATGGATTGCGTCCTTTTTCGTTACCGAAGCAAGCCGACTCTGCGATGATTTTTCTGGATCCAATCCTCTATCCCCTAACATGCTTTCCGACTTGACGCAGTTTTGCAACACATTCCTGTTGCTACTCTCGCTGCCCACTTCTGCTCGCCCTGTAGTCTTCGCTGCCCACCAAGAAAAGGCTCAGTTCAAGATCCTTCAATATATGGCGAGTATGTCGCCTGCAATAACGGTGACACGCCTCGGTTTTCGGTCCGTTGCGCGCAACCAGCTGGCACATGCGAAAACGCTTCAAGAGAGAGAATGGGCTGAGCTCAAAGGGCCTACCTGGCCACCGTGGAAGGAGAATCGCACAGCAATGGATGAGGATAAAGGCTACGAGTTTGGTGCCTCGCGAGCTTCCCAGCTCTTGCACCGTATGTATGAAGCTGGGTACAGCGGTCGCCTCTGGGAAGATGTAGCGCAAGTATACGCTGGCTGGGATACCGATTCTAGTCCTACGATACAGACTCGAACTTCTTTACCGCGCATCTCCTCCCAGTATCGAGATGCTAAACACCTTCGCCCTCTGCTCTGGGCTGGCCGTATACGAACGACGCGCACGCGTAGAGAGGCCTGGGCATGCTTCCTCTCACATGAGCTGTCTGGAGAGCCTGCTCATCCAGATATCTATCTTGCAATGTTCGAAAAGTTGTATCATGCTGAAGCAGAGCGATCGAACCGCACAGAATTCTCGTCTGATGCAGAAAATACTCATGAAGAGGACACCACTCATATGTTACCTGGAGACATGAAGGAAGCAGTCCCCGACCCGCTATCTACGTTGCACTATGTATATCTTAGCGAACCCGTTCCTGGCTACCGAGGGCTACTTGGACGAATGCAGATGGCACACGTCAAACCTAAACGCCGCCTCCTTGCGTTCCTCTTAGAGACATGCCCAGAGTTCGACACGGGTCTAGGTTTACTAGACATGGCTAGGGACATTCAACACGGCAGGGTAGGCCGAATGCTCGACGGCATTCACGACCAGTACACTTCAGGCAACTCGATCCCGGGTTTTCTTTTCAAGGCGATCATTGACTTCTTGTGTCGCTTTGGAAGCATCGATCAGTCATCTTTTTATAAAGTTGATTTCCTACCTCCAGAACAGCACGTTCGTCAGCTCAGGTCGAACAGGCAATACTGTGTCGAATACGCATACATGCTTCTCAAATACTATCGACCGATCTACCGACCAGCCTGGGCTTGCATGATAAAGGTGCTGGCGTCTCAGAAAGGGCATAAGCATGTTCTCAGTCTTGCTCGGTATAAGCTCATTTGTTCCATTGTTGAAGATATGGAAGAGATTGATCTTGACGTCGACGATGAGATATTCCGTCTGGTCTGTATTGCGACTATGTACGCCGCTCAAGCCGTCGAACGAGGCTCCGCTTCTTTTGACGATACACGACATGTTCTTTCCACTGCCTCCTCTCGCCTTCGTACGCTCTTCAACGGCCTAGTCGGTGCTAGTGCAGATGTGCAGTCGCCTACAGATGATCAGACAGCCAACGTCATTTCGCCACACATTCCGGGGCCCGCGGAGCTACATGCTTATGTACGAGGGCTAGGTATTCTCCGGGATTATGAGGGTCTTTACTCATTCACCACCTGGTTCACCAAGCATTATGCTGAGGTGACGGCGCGTGCAGAAGCTCAGCGCTCAGGCAGGCACCTTCTGTTCAAGACACTCGTGGCGTTGCGCCTAGCTGTCGATGGAGGAGGATTCGAGCGAGGCAACGATCACACATCGGGTGCACCAGAAGACATAGCACTTCTCATCAAGACACAGATCGAGAGTGTTGAACAGTGGGGCGGTTGGCCTGCAAAGGAATATGTGGACATGTATGCCAAGGGCCATCTAAAGTCCGCACCACCCGTTGTTGGAGGACGCTAGAAGACGGTGGAATACGAGCACTTTCTGTTCCATGTTTTCACTGCTCTTGATACACTGTAAAAGTAGACCACTCGCGCATATCCGAGGACAGCAATCTAAAATTAAACTCCAACCAATGTTTTCGAGACCGTGGCGAGACCTTTCCTCCAACCATGCCGTCGCCTCTGCGAAATCTTCTAGCCAATCCAACTCCGCGTCGCCGCGCGGAAGGACGGGCAAGCCTGCTGATTGAAACCGTGAGGCACGTATACAGAGTTTCGGATTGAGCCCACACTCGCTTATGTGCTGATTCTCCAATACCGTGCAAAGGTCCGCAACCCCATCCACCTCTCCTTCTGCATCCTCCCGCGCCCAATCTGGTGCGTTCACCACAACAGCTTGGCCCTTTTTCACAATCTCCATCGGTTCGAGTTGCTGTTTGTCTACCCCGTGGTTTCTTGCAACATCCTCAAGACAATCATGAAATGACCGTACCTGGCTCTCATACGGCACAAGTGGAGGATACTTGAAGCGGAAGGGTTTCACATCCCTGCTGTTCCAGCGAGCGGTCTTCGCCCGTTTAATCATCCTTCGCGCCTCACGTCGCATTTGAGTGGGAATATGCTCCGCATTGAACTCGTCAGGAGCCTGGGTTCGGGGATCAAACGGCTGCTGTAGACGGGCGGGATGGGCCTCGTAGATATCCGCCAGTCGGTAGAGTTCCGCTGCTAGCGTTTCTGCTCTGACTAGACGGACTTGTTGATACATGTCGACAAAAGCTGCTAGTTTGTCGGCGGAGGATACAGCGCCGTCTGCATGGTGCTGGTATTTGTAATCCTTCTCACCTAATTCGGGAATCTTAGAGAGGATTGCTGAAGCTTGCACCGGCAATTTTGGGAGCATCGGTACGACGATTCGGGAGTAGTCTTCGTGGAACATGGTCCAAGTCTCAGTAAGGATGATCGCGTTTAACTCCGAGAGCCACCTTGTTCCCAGCTCCCCTCGTTCCTGTCTGAAACGAGTCCAGTTCTTATCCAATTCATGCTTCCAGTCTGAATTGCGATAGGTCAGAAAGTAAAGGCGGCCTTTGTCTTTGAAGACGTCCGGTAGATCTCCCTTGGATTCCGGTTTCTTGAAACATGCGAACTTTACGTGGTCTGTGATGGAAAGTAGTGTCTGCCATTTACTCATGTCCTCGCCGCGGAAGTATTTACCCCAGAGCGATCGGCTATTTTTGAGGGACCAAGTAAGACGTGGCCCGGCGCAAGAAGAAAGGCGAATTAGTTGCGAGTATTCCAGTTCGTCTAGTATATCGTCGTGAAGCTCGCATGGGAGCTTCTCAAGGTCCTGTGCGATACGCTGGTATCTCTTAGGCGCCAGCTTGATTTCCATCTTCTTGTCGGATGCAGTTAGAACTGTCGGTCGAAGGCGGGTGGAAGTGGTGCTGCAATGCGATCAATCTCAAATCGTAATCAAACGTAGTTGTCTAATGTTCTAACAAGCATGTTTATTCACAGAAGTTCTTCTATTTACTGAGGAGCAAGCTTTTGCTGCTTTCCTTGAGTCACGAAAAGGGCGCTGGTAGTGGCAGGCGCGCCGCCCTCAACCAAGGGCGGCCGTCGCAACTACCACAAATGGCCTTTATGTTGCCCGCGTTTCCTCTTATGCACATAATCAGCAGGCACCGCCGTGCCAACTCGATACAACTTCATCGGACACCAGTTTTTCTGTTACTACGAGAGCGATCTTTCGTTATCTTCTTTGACATCGATCTAGTCATACATCTACCTCCATAAAGGCGCCATTCTGACTCATTACAGGCACCATGTTACGCAGCCACAGACACCCCTGAAACAATGTCCCGACGCTTGCGGGAAGACACTCGTCATCGGCCCAAAGCCATGTAGCTGGGTAGCATACCATCTACCTGGTAATTGTACGAGTAGAGCATTTCAAATTGCTGCGTGCCTTGCACTATCTCCTGATTTGGGCCACGACATCAAGGTACTCATATACGAGAACGGCATCAGTAGAATCTGACGATATTTGAATAAAGAGGCGTAGAATAGGATTCCAGATGAAACTGGCTGAGTATGCGTGGCTTCCTTCGGAAGTCACGACTACCGTGACAGCTACTACACATCTGCAGAAGGCTGCTACGATCCAGCGCGGCACCACAGCTGACAATCTCATCGCACGGTTGGGGGAGCGCGTTCATTGCAGTCGATCCCCCAGCCTCAAGAGCCTCACCGCCGATCCCAAGCACCTCGGCGAAGCTTCTTCAAAGAAGATAGGCGGGTAGTTCTGTACAAAGGAGGATAACTCGGCTGTTAGAGTGGGGCTCGGGTACGCTAGTAACGGCTTAGGTCCCGAGGTCTTGCGGGGGTGCACCCTGCTTCTTTAATATATCTCATCACAATATGCACGTTCGACAGCAACTCTTGCGAGCACGATAATTGGTGGGCCGGTTTAATATTGTGATTGTCGCCTGTTTACATATCGCACGTCTTGCTTAACCCATTACAACAAACAGCTCTCCCCACGTGTCCACCACAGCCCCGTATTAGCCGTCCACCCATCAAAAGCCCCTGCCGACTCCCGAGATCGAGCTAACGACCATCTACTGCTTGTAGCAAGAGGTACGGAACTGAGCGTTCCAGCCACTGACAGTGCTGTACTTTCCACCAGCAGCGCAGGCGGTGCCGACTTCAAGAGGGTTGTTGGGGTTGGTGGCACCATCGGCGCGGTGGGCGTTGGTGCACCAGCGCTGGCAGTCGAGGTCACCAATCTTGGGGTCCTAAAGAGTATCTCAAATTAGCATCCAAGATGCATTTTATCTTGTGTCGTTCATGAAGGGTTGCTCACAGAGTAGACGCAGCAGTGCGAGCCATCACCGAAGAGGCACTGGCAGAACTGGGCGGCCTGAGCGCTGATGGCGCTGGCGATGATGATAGTGGCGAGGGAGAGAATGCGGACCATTTTGGCGGTTGTGAGAAGTCTCGAAGAGGTAGTAGAAGAGTGTGGAGTAGAGTGGATTTAGATTGAGTGTCTTGGTGCTGTCCAGAGAGGGTGGTGCTCTGATATTTAAGCTTGCTTAAGCTCTTGCTTATATCTACAGACAAATGAGTCGGCACTGATATTTGGCCGAGTGATGCTCTCATATCGCTCAAGATAGTGCATTCAAGTTAGCCCAGCCTCGTACGGTCGTTTTCGACCACCGGATATTCACGAGTGTCGGTGTGTTCTAGGGGTATCTCCGTGTCAGCAATCGTGACATGCTGCGGCTACCGGCAAAAAGATTATGTGCAGGAAACTATTGCGTGTGAATTGCAAGGGAGAGGAACAAGCCAACGTAGACCAACGCAGGGGTCATGACTAATACGAGAGACCACTCAGGTCCACGCTTCCTTCTCGGCGGATATTTCCAAGATCACGAACTCACTAACCCAACTTCCAAGACTTGAATGGATCGATGGGGTCGATTTTGGAGCGGTATCTACGGTACAATCTCACCTACATGTTTGAGGGATCACGTACTAACGCAGGGGCGACAACAAATGGAGAAACCACGCTTCATTTTCGGTCGTTAATTCCAACATCACGAGCTCACTAGCCATGTGCTCCATCTACACGCTGCTGGAGTCCTCAACGAAGACACCACCGCAGATCTGGCCCTCATCAAGGTTGCTCTCCTGGAGACCAGCGGTGGCGACGTCGGAAGTACCCGTGAACCGGTGGGTTTCCTGGGGATGCACATCTGGAACTGAGGATATCATTCCGACTTGGCCAAAGTAGACTTTCCAAAGTTACTAGACATTGGGTTATATCTCGTGGCTGCAAGCGCTTTACTCGCAACTGTCTGATGGCAGTTTTGGTGTACTTCCTCTCATCCTCCCCTCGTGCTACTCATTATCTTGCTTCCATCTTCTAGAGTGCGGCATGGCTGCAGACTTCATGGTAGTACATACCACAGTGAGCATACCGGCCCGGTCTGCACAGATAGCGACTGGCTTCGGGACATTCAGCGCGCATCTTTGGCCGTGTATTTCCCCCGTGCCGGTTTTGGTGATAGTCCACTAGTTGGCTGCTGACACAGTCCCCTTCGTACTATCGAATGTACATAGTTTGGCCGTAGAGTGGAAATTTGGGTCCGAGGCGCTCATGGTCAACGGGTTCCACAACAGGCGGTTCGAGTGAGGCTCTGCCACAACTCCAGAAACGTCTGGTAGTACTGACTCGTGACGGTCCGAATTCGGCAGTCGGCACTTTCCTGTAAGCACAGTAGACCACGTTTGGCAGGTTCTTCCAAATTCGGTCAACTGTTCGGTCATATTATATGCGCTGTTTAGAGCTGATCGGTGTACGTTGAAGGGTGACGTAGGGAGACAGGCGTGGGAACGTGTTATGTAAGATCGTTGCGGCTGTTCAAGCCCGTGTAGATCTTTTGCGCGTCATCGTGATAGTGTGGTGGTGAGACTGTAGTTTTTTCTATTTGTACAGGTGCTTGATGCGATTAATTGCATTGCTGTGTATGTAAGGAGTGTGTGTCGTAGATGTCGTTCTATCTAGGTATCTAAACATCGTTTAGATCCCGTCTGCAGGTGCTCTCCGACTTCCGCACTGACCTCCGAACCTAAGGACCATTCGGCCCTACCTAGGTATCTAGGTATCGTTCCACTGACCTCAACATCACAATGGAATCGGCGCGACGACTTTTTTTCTACTCAGCTGACCACAATGTTTCATTGTGATAGACGAGGCCCTTGGAGTTGAGATACTTCCCATTCGAGACCATCCCCTTGCGCATGGGTCTTATGAAATGCAGGCCTTGGCGGGAAGGTACCCAGGTGTGGTTGGTGGGTCGTCTCCGGGTCGTCTCTGTTGTGATAGACGAACATGATCTTGCCGTCTATATAAAGCAACAGTGATCTTCTCGATACCTAGCATACCGACACAGCATCTTCATTACCCACAAGTTTTACACACCTCTTCATCACACTCAACTACTCATTCACCTCGATCCACGACAAAATGGTCCGACTCTCCATCGCCGCGGTTATCTTCGCCGCCATCACTTCCGTCGCCGCTGATGGATGGTGCCAATGCCTCTACGCGGATGGCTCCCACTGCTGCGTTACTGTAAGCCAATGATAGCCCGAGTCGAATCAAACAGGAAATTCAAGCGACCGAATCTAACGATGTACTAGCAATACGGCATCAGGAAGGACTGCGTGGCCCGATGCATCGACAACGGAAACTCGGACAACAAGTGCAACGCTGGTGGCAAGTACTCGGACGTTAGCTCATGGAACGCTTCGTGGCGCCGCTCCTGCACGGATTGGACCATTGGAAACGCGAAGTAGAGGAGGAGCTCGTCAGGATGCCCTTGCGCAGTTCTTAAGCAATCGTCTCTTTGTGTTATGGCAATCAATGTACCTTCTCTTGAGTTTCCTCAGTTCTCGAGATCCTAGGACCTCGATCGCTGGGAAGCTCCCATTCAATCTAAACCCTTTTCTGTGAATACGGTAATCGCCGCGTGTAATAATTGATATGACGGTGTGCCTCCTCACCGTGTATTATTGATACGATCATGAACCTTTCCAAACGAAAACAAGCGTACTTGGTAGTCTCCGTGAGATTACTTCAACGGATCCAATGTGACCTATGCACGTCCCCCCGTGGGGTGCTTCGTAAATCCGCCGAAATGTGATTATGACTCGTGTTATGTGGTCTTTTAGTCTGCTGGACTCTATAAAGATCGTGGTTTCTCTTCCACTCCTCCGCACCATCACATCACTCATCACTTCAACTCAACCCAACTGCATCCTCGTCATCAACGCCCAACATGCGTCTTACTATCGTTACCGTGCTCCTTGCCAGCGTAAGCAGCGTTGTGGCTTCGTACTGCCAGTGCCTTTACCCAGACGGCAGCCATTGCTGCGTTATCGTAAGTCGTCATGTATCACTTCACACTCAAGATTGACTTGCTCACCATCGTGATGTTTTCAGGACAACCTTGTCGATGATTGCCCGAGAATGTGCTTGAGGGCGTCCAAGGACAGCACGACTGCTGGACAGTGCAACGCCGACGGGAAATTCTCCAATGTCAGCTCATGGAACGCCCAGAGACGCAAGCAGTGTGGCAAGCCCTACATTTACTAGATTCGGAAATTCACTCGCACTATCGCCAAAGCTCCTGCGAAGTCGTTCTGGAGGATGGGACTGAGAGGGTTTTGTGGTGGAAACTGGTAGGAAGATCGCTCGGGGACGATTCTTGAAACATGATGGGGCTGTGGATGTCGAGGCGGGTCGATCGTGGCTACCATTGCGGATGCAGCGAGTAACAGCGAAATAACACCTTGCCTATCTCCCCACCCTTCCGTACCGTTCGG